GGACAAGGTGGAGTGGGTGGGAGAGGAAGCTCTCCCACATACTCGGTGGGTCTTGTCTAGGACTGGGTCTGGGGGTTCCCGGAATCTGGCAGAGATTCATACTCGGCGGTCAGGGTGGGGGAGGTGCTGCGAAGTGGTGGGGGTTCGTTTCAAGGTGGTGCAGGAGGGTCTTACACAGGCTGCACCTGGCTTGGGACCAGTAGTGGATCCCACTCGCGCCGTGTACCTGGAAGCCCTCCCACACACTCACTGGACCTGGGCTAGGACTGGGTCTGGAGTTTCCTGGAAGGAGGCAGAAATTCCTATTCCTCGGGCGAGGTGGGTAGGTGCTTCGGAGTAGTTGGGGGTGTCCCAAGGGGGTGGAAGAGGGTCTCACACATGCTGCGCCTTGGCTATGACCAGTAGTGTGTTCCGCTGGTGCAGGGTAGCTGGAAGCTCTTCCACACACTCACCGGACCTGGGCTAGGACTGGGTCTGGGTGTTCCTGGAACATGGCAGCAAGAATTAAGTTTTCTTGGAAACTTTTCTCTTTTAATAGTTTACTTCAGCATCTAATTCTGATCTGATGAACTTGAAATAAATTAGGAAAAAGACAGCAACAGTATTGGTTTAATTAAGTATGCAGGCATTAATCTTTTGAGAAGGAAATTTTGCCATGAGCTCTGTTTTCACCTGTTTGTCCAGTTCTTTTAGAAAGTACGTGTTGGGTTTTCATCCATCCTTCAATTGAATTATTTTACTGTATGTGTGTTTAAAATCAGTTTCTATAGTGACATCTGGTGGTAGATTTGAAATCCTAGAGAGTATATTTGGAATTATTAATATTAATGATTAGCTCTATAATTCCATCTTCTTTCAATTTTTTTTACCTTATTAACATTTTTTTAAATGACCGTTATTGTATTTTTGAGGTTAGAAACTCGGGTATTTATTACTTTATAGTGCTTCCTTAAAGTAAATGAATGATTCCTGATAACCTTGCAGAGTGGATCGTGTCGCAGGCTTGAGGCATACACCGCCGATGCTCCACCTGGTTGGTCGCATTGCTGGTTCATGCTGTCACCTCATCCCGGGAGTGGTGGTGCCCCTCTGTTCTCACACTGGTTTTGCCTGTCCTCTGGTTGCATCCTGTCATTGCCATCTTTGAATGTGAGAGGGGAAATGGAGGACAGGAGCAAGATGGCCGGGAAGGGAGCTGAAAGGGCAGAAAGCATTTGAAGGCAGAAGGGCTCCTGTTGAAATGTCTGTGGGTGGTGTTTGTGTTCACACAAAAAGACTGTGTGTTGAGTATGGGTTAAGGAAAACATCCATGACTCTTACACTATATTTTCATTTTTCTCTGTGAAAGGTATGACTTAGAAGTTTTCAAAATGGAAACCTGAACAATTGTTTCTATTTATTGAAGTAAGGTAACTACTGAAGTTACTTACAGAAGAAATCCACCTGCCATTTATAAATGCTAGTTGTGGTTTTAGGGAAGAGTGGCCAAAGAAACAGGACAACATCAGAGGCTTGCAGTGACGTACTTAGTGAATAAACACTGCTTTGAGTCAGATTTCTGGATGTCTGGTGTGTGGGTCATCTTAGAAACCAAGACTTGTGTGCAGAGAGTGGTTTCAATCCTGAAGAGCGTCTTATGGAGGAGGTGCAACAGTGCGGAACCCAAATTGCACAGTCTGTGAAGTCCTGAAATACAAGCATTGTGCTTCTCACTCATTGAAATCTATATTTTAACTGCTAGTTAAGATAATCCTGATTTCCTCCCATATATGAATTGAATTATTATACTGCCTCATTTTTATGCATTACTATTTAAAGATTCCTTTAAACTTCAAAACATTCTGCTGCTAACTGTGGTTAAGGATCACGCAAAAAGCACGCAGCTGCTGCTTTGGTCGCGTGGTCGAGCAGGAGAGTGGCTCCTGGCTGAAGTCATGCACACATGGACCTGGCTAGGAACGAGGGGAGATGCATGGCTGTTTGTAACGAGTACAGGTCTCGTATCATGTGTTCACCTTTTAGATGTCTTCTTTCTTTTCCCCTGACACCAGATAAAACTCGTGCTCATGAGTGAACATTGAGTAGCTTTCTTCAGCACTGACGTGTGCACAAAGCAGATGAAATATGACATTCAGCTTGTCTGTCAGAGTGACGGTGTTAAGTTTGACTTGATCCACATTTGTCGTACTAACAATAGAACTGTTGCTTGGTAGGGGATTTGCTGATTTTCAAGTCAGAGATTCCAGGTTTCTGAATTTTAGCTCTGCTGTGGCCTTGGGAAAAATTTGTCATCTCTGAATTTTTTTTTTCCCTGTGGAATGAGGATAATAGCACCATGTGTTAGAGCCCTTAGCAGGAAAGATGAGATGAAAAAATGTATGGACAGCACCGGTGGTACAGCGAACATCGAGGGTGTGGCTTCTGTGATTATCCTGTGTGTGTGGGGGGGGGTACTGGGGATCGAACTCAGAGGCTTTGCACTTAGCACACAGGCAGTTAGCTGCTGAGCTATATTCCTGGCCCCCTTTTAAAAATGCCTATTGCAGTTAAAAGAGAGCTTTAAGAAAGTGGATAGCAGCATGAAAAAGTGTTGAATACGATCACCATGTATCTGTGTACTGGAAATTTTCCAGTAATACTTCACTTACCATGTGAATTTAATTGCATTGTAATAAAGCGGTGGAACACAAGAAGAACATAATTGTATTTGCTTTGTTTATATGGGATGTTTTTAGAGGGAACATCCTGTATCCCCATCTTGCCTTGTCTCAGGTGGAGGGAATGACGAATAACAGAAGCTAGAAATGATTATTCTCTCAGACAACAAGTATGAGTATAGCTTAAACGTGAGCTGAAGGGGACCAGTATGTGACTTTATCTTCAGACGTTCCCTCCACAGACCAGTTAGCTCCTTTGCTTTAGTTCTATAAATCTGAAAAAAAAATTTGAAGGTTCAGTGAGAATAGATAAAACAATTACAGGCAATTACAGTGCTTTTTGGTGACTGTAAACATTCATCCGACAACACTTCATCTCACATTTATGTTTCTAGCACTCAACATCTTTTTCTAATATTAACCTCAGATATGCGGATACTTAGCAATTGTAAAAATACGCAGGCGTGATGACTAGTTAGTAACAGTTTATTCTTGAAAATTGGTAGGAGTAGGTATTGTGTTCTTACATCAGAAAAGGTAGGGAGGTAATGAATATTTAGTTACCTTGATCAATAGACGTGTACATATTTCAGTGTCATGTTGTACACAGTAAATGCATACGATTTTTGTCAGTTTAAGCAAATCGAATATGGACTTTTGTTTGAGGTAAAACTGTTTCATTGCTGAATATAGATGAAATTGATACTTGTTTTTTTCTGATAGTATTTTGCATTAAATTGAAAAGACTAGTGATTGTAGAGGTGGATGTCTAAAGTTCAGCGTGAGCCATCGTGTTGAACATTTGTGTTATCCAGAATGAGCAACCCATGAGAAGAAAATGCAGTGATATATCTTGGGAATCCAAGGACAGGGTGACACTGTTGATTAAGAAAAAGTAACATTAACCAGGGACAAATGACTATTTCCACTTTTAACCATTTGGAGAGGTTAATTAAACCTGGGATAATTAAGGCTTTGATAATTTTCAGTGCTGGTCCTAAACAGCTCAGATATTGTAACCTTCTTTCTAATGGCCATGACTCTGTCTTTTACTTGTTGACTATCAAGCAGCATGTCCTAGTTTGATTCTCAGATGAAGACTTTTTATACTAATCCCAGTTAAGATACTTAGGCATTTAATTTATTTGATAAAATTTATTGAGGTTCATACAGGATGCCAGATATACTACTATTTGAGAAGAATATATACTCTTTTGGAGTTTCTATATTTTTATATCATGTTGGTTGTCTTGTGATTCACTTAATGAGCTTGAAAAAAGGAAGAATGCAATACGTGAGACTTGAGCAATTATCGTTCTGAACTTTGTGCTCTGTTTTCCTAGCCACTTAAAAGGGAGTGTGTGTGCTGAACTACCACAGAGTTGTTCCTGCTTCTCCCCTGAGATTGACAGTGGTTAGAGAAGTGCCATGTGAGGAGCAGGGGTGCCAGGCTAGAGGCAGACCTGTAGGAAAGTCATCAGATTCCAGCCAGCCATAATTTTCATCTTTGGAAATACCAAGTTTGTGTCCTTAGTTGATCAGTTAGTACCCATTCAGGGAGCGGTTTTGAATACTTAAAAAAAAGTGCCCCAATCAGTGCTAATTGACACTTAATTATAGCTATACTTTTATAGGCTCCATTCTGTGGCATGTGTTCTTATACTAATTATGTATGTATATTAGTTCATTTAATCAACCCATAAGGATCACTCTTCTTATTTCCTTGTATGGCAAACCAAACTGAGGCACAGAAAGGTTAGATAACTTAAGATCATGCAACTGGTAAGTGACATACAAGCCCTCAGTAAGTCATCGTTAGGTTAACACTTTCTCAAAGTAGCTTTTTTTTTTTTTTTTTTTGTCATTGCTGACATGCTTCTCTATGTTTTGTTTTGTTTTTTCTATCTCTCTAGGTGTCATAGAAACTTCAGATCGACTGGACCGCGAGTCAACGTCCCACTATTGGCTGACGGTCTACGCAACTGATCAGGGTGTCGTGCCTCTTTCATCATTTATAGAAATCTACATAGAGATTGAAGATGTCAATGACAATGCACCACAGACCTCAGAGCCTGTTTATTATCCAGAAATAATGGAAAATTCTCCTAAGGACATATCTGTAGTCCAAATTGAGGCCTTTGATCCTGATTCTAGCTCTAATGACAAGTTAATATACAAAATTACAAGTGGAAATCCACAAGGATTCTTTTCCATCCATCCTAAGACAGGTATGTGTTCACACTGTTGTATGAAGTCTTTGTGCTTATATTTTCCTGTCAACTTTCCTTTGGTTTCGGTAAGTCATTTTCCTTTTGGGTCAGTCAAGACAAAGCTTTGTTTTCAAATGATACTTAGTCTGAAATGTGTCCCTTCGCATTTGCTTTTATAAAGCTATTATGTGATTTTGCTCATTAGTAGAATTTCACTTTGATCTTGAAAGCAAATAGTTATTCCAGTAGCAGTTCCTAAATGAGTGATCTTAAACTTGCACGTAATTCTACTACTAATTATATGATTTTTTATAACTGCTGATTTATAAAGGGTATTAGAAGATTTTATTTCACAGTTCCTTGAGGTTTTAAATTTTTCTAGTGAGCAATGATATAACTGTAGGCAGAACCAGATCAAGATAAAGAGTTTTCAGTTGCAGAGGTTACTTTTTTTAACTGAGTAAAAAACCCTTTCTTCCCTCAATGTCTGTGACCATCTGCTTCCAAGGAGAAAGTTCTATGGCTCCCAAACGCTTCCAAAGTCTTTATAAACTTATAATCTTTGCTATTATTCACTTAACAGTGTATATGTCTTTCTGTTTAACAGTGTATTTTACGTTTTTCTTAGGTTCTCAGTCTCTTTGCTATTATTTCATGAGAAGGTATTTTGCATAGTTATACTTTGGGTAATGACAACTCAATGCACATGTGCAATGAAAACCTTACCTCTGAGTGTAGAATGTTTAATTTATTGCTCGGTTCAAATAACAAGTATCCTATGAATTGGAGGACAGGATAGTCACAGGAAAATGCAGTATTTTGTCAAAAAGATGAGTAACCTAAAACAAAGATGTTACACAGTTTTTTAGTCCTTGCTAGTAGAATCCGGTGTACAAAAATTTTGAACAGCAAGGTTTATTTAATAATTCTGTACCTCTATTTTAGCTTACCTTATTATGTCTTTCCTTATTCCAGGGTAACTGTCCTGTTTAATCACTGATTATATATTTGAAATGTCAGGGAAATAATAAAATGAAGAAAATTTTTTAACTTCTTTACCTGTTTTTGTTTTCTTTCTTTCTTTGTTTTTTTGAGATAGGGTCTCACTGTGTACCAAGCTAGCCTTGAACTTACTATGTAGTCGTCCAGGCTGGCCTTGAACTCCCAGTAATCCTGCCTCAGCCTCCCAAATCCTGGGATTACAGGCATGCATATCATGCCCAGCCTGTTTTCCTAATTTTGGTATCATTCTTATTCCTTATTATCTCCTACTGATCTTATATGAAAACAATTTTGAAGGTGGAAGGAAGCCTGAGTTTAAGATTTGTGTAGCAGATGCTCCGTGCAATATACTTGAAGCTGGACTTTGTCAGCACACCTGTAATTGTAGTGCTCAGGAAGCTGAGTCAAGAGGATCATCAACAGTTTGAGGCCAGTTTAGGCTATGAAGTAAGTTCAAGTCCAGCCTGAAATACTACATAATGAGACCTTGTCTCCAAAGAAAAAGAAAAAAACAAAACAAAAACAAGGAAGATAATAGAGAGAGGGCTAAGTTTAGTGGTGTGTGCTTATAATTCCAGTTACTTCAGACACTGAGGCAGGAGTATCATAGTCTGAGGCCAACCTGGGCAACTTGGAGAGGCTCTGTGGGGGATGCAGCTTAGTACTGTGTGTGAGGTGTAAAGAAAACTCCGTATTTGTGAAGACTTTTTTATTATTAAAAGTAAATGTAAGTTCAAGATTTATTTTGAATGTTATTATCTCCTTTTACTTTGAGACAGTTATATGCTATACCTGTGGACCAATTCTAGTATGTTCCTCTGATGGAGTTTGGGTTCTTAAAAAACTGGTAATTGTACTATTAACATTGATTGAACCCCAGGTGTGCCATGCTGGGCTGGGCCCTG